ATTTTGAAAAAAACCCAGAATGTGTATTTTCTGACTTTATGAGGAAGATAGATGAAAATCTCAGTTTAATTTAATTTTCTTTACATACTTTTTGAAAAAATAAATTAAATCCTTTTACTTTTTAAAATAAACAATACTCATAGTTCCTTTTTCTTTTTTACTTAGTAACAATAAGTGGTGGCTGGTTTAAAATTTGGGGGACCTTTATGTGACATATATGTACTTTTTGGGCAACAAAACACTTGCACATTTAATTAGTTGCAACAGAGCAATAAACTTTTAAATGGTCAATGAAAAACTTTTTATAGGGTTTACTTGCTTCATAAATAAGTCTCACTACAGAATATCGCCTTAGCACTTCCCTGTCCTGTGTTTAAACATCTTAACTCCTCTTTAGGGGATAAGTATTAAGTACAAAATAACAGGATTAGAATATAGTTTATGTTCTTAAAGAAAATCTAGTCAACAGAATAAAAATCCATCAGTAAGGAACGCATACATTCATGGTCAAATTTTCCAAGAATTTTTTCCAGTTTTTTGCTTGTTTGCTTATATATTAGACATTTTTATGAATTTATTTGGCTTTAAAAAAATGAATGCACATGAAGGCTTTCACAATTTGACCCACCCTTAAGAAAATCCTGGTTTGTTCAGATTGTCCATAAAAATATATACTCCAGGTAATTCTGACAGCTGGATCAAGTGTTTTGTGACCTACTGGTATGGCAGGATATACTTGGTTTTGGCTTTTGGCTTTCAGTTCCCAACAATTCTTGCCATGAGCTCTAGATCAAGGAATCATGGAGCACAGATTCACCCTAGGGTTTCCTATGAACATCTTTGACTCAGGTCCTATATACTGAGCATACCTTCATGCATAACCCCCAAATACTTCATGTCCAAACTTCTGAATGTTCTGTTCAATATTGGCTATGTTTTTAGCCCATGGAAATCTATATATAATTACATTTTTGCTGCTATCATAATCAGTTACGTTAATATTTTGATTCTATAATGTAACCACATTAAAAAATTGAAATTCGTATAGTGTTTACTCAATAATTACTGACTGGCAAAAGAATAAGCTTTTGCTTGAAACTCTTCAATTAAGGTTTTTTCCTTCTAAATTTTTGAATACTTTTCATGTTCATAAGGTCAACAATCCCATACCAGATTGTTCTAAAAGGTTTTTTAATTTGAGCATATTAAACATGAATGTCTTTGCAAACATGGTAGTTATTGTTATTTGCTTATGAGTTATCCCTCCAAAGCTTCTGTGTTAATGAAAGAATATTCAGAGGTGAAATGATTAGATTATGAGAGCTGTAACCTAATGAATCCATCCTAGTTTGAATGCACATACTGGGTGGTAATTGAAGGTAGGTATGGCATGACTGGAGGAAGTGGATCATTGGGGGTATGTCCTGAAAGGGTTTATCTTGCCTGCAGGCTCTTATTCTTTTTCTGTTTCTTGGCTACCATCAATGGAGCAGTGCTTTTCCACTATGCCCTTCTACCATGATGTCTGACTCACCTTGGGTCCAGAGCAATAGAGTTGGCTCACTATGGACTAAATCTGAAACCATGAGCTAACAAACTTTCCTCCTCTAAGTTGTTCTTGTTGAATACAATAGAGACAAAAAGTTTTTTTTTTTTTTTTTTTAATCAGTTGTTCAAAAAGTTGACTAATACAATGGGGTTTTCTGTAAGCAGTCCTGTTGAGTCATTGTGCTAGGAAACCTCCTCATGTCAGATAACCCAGTAGCCTTGTGTAATCTCCAATATGAATTCTGGTAGCTAAATTAGAACCCATTTATTTATCCTTTTTTCTTTTACTGTGTAAATGCTATGGACTGAATTATTTCTCTCCAAATTCATATGTTGAAATCCTAGTCCCTAAAGTGCACTGTTATGGTTTGGATGTGAGGTATCCTCCAAAAAGTTACTCATGTGTGAGACAATTAAAGGTTAGGAGAAATGATTGGGTTATATCCTTAATCATATCAGGGATTAATTCACTGATTAGGTTAACTGAGTGATGACAGGAAGCAGGTGGTGTGTGGCTGGAGGAAGTGGTTCTTAGGGAGTGTGGCTATGGGGTATATATTTTGTATCTGGAGAGTGGAGTCTCTTTCTCTCTCTACTTCCCTCTACCACACTCTTCTGCCATGATGTTCAGCCTCACCTTGAGCCCCAAGGAATAAGCTCTGCTATCTAAAAAAAGAACCTGACTAAATCATTCACATAATACTTGGAGATAGTGCCTATTCACTGGTAATTAATGTTATGTGAGGTTGTAAGGGAAAGCCTTCACCTGAATACCCTGAAACATCCAGACCTCCTTTTTTTCCTTCCCATAAGTCATTTGTGCCCCTAAACTGGCCAGACAGAGGTTTGAGGAGCTAGCCCCTCTAAATTCTTCGGAACCGGCTTTGGAGAAACCCGATTCCTCACTACCAACATCCATATCCCAAGTATTGGTATTCAGCAGTGGGAAACCTTAAAATTTGTTTCCAATATCGCTTTTTCTCCCTTCCCCAGAGACTAACCAGGCTTCTCCTGGAGAAAGGTCTAGGAAGATTCCCCTGGAATCATGGAGTACCATTATTATGGTTTGGATGTGAGGTTTCCCCTAAAAGCTCATGTATGAGACAATGCAAGAAGGTTTAAAGGAGAAATATTGGGTTGTGAGAGCCTTAACCCAGTTAAAGAATTAATCACCTGATAGGATTAACTGAGTGGTAATTGAAACAAGTGGGGTGTGGCTGGAGGAGATGGCATGGATTTGGATTATATATTTGTATTTGGCAAGTGAAGACCTCTTTCTGCTTACTGATCATCATGTGAGCTGCTTCCCTCCACCACACTCTTTTGCCATGATGTTCAGCCTCACCTTAAGCCTCGAGGAATAGAGCTGGCTGCCTATGGACTGAGTCCTTTGAAACTATGAGCCCTCAAATAAACGTTTCCTCCTCTAATATTGTTCTGTTTGGGTCTTTCAGTCACAGTAGCAAAAAAGGTGACTCAAACAGGTATATTGTATTCTAGTTACATTTTAGACAGACTTTCCACAAATCTGTTTTTATCCTGTTTTCACCTCCATTTCCAGAGGTGCTTAATTTCAGTAATTTCCAAGCCTTTGACAGATCTGAAAGGTAAAGTTGGTAACTTTCCATTTTTCACCATTGGGAGACTTAAATTTTATTTATTTATTTATTTATTTTTGGACCACTTGTTCTCTTGCTAGCTAACTCATAAAATGTCACTGGTACCATCCCCTTTGCCTTTCTATTTAGTTCTTTAGGGGTTTACTTTAAAAAGAAAAAAAAAACCTTTTTTAAGTTGTAAATGGACAGAATGCCTTTATTTGTTTATTTTTATGTGGTGCTGAGGATCAAACTCAGTGCCTCACACATCAAAGACAATTGCTCTGCCACTGAGCCACAACCCCAGCCCAGGGGTTTACTTTTTTCCCCCTAATTCCTTTAAGAGTTTTGCAAGATTTCAGGAAAAAAAAAGTAATTAAATACATGTTCTATCTCCATCAGCTGGAGAATTATATGTCTTTTTGTAGCATGGGTTCTCCTGATTCATTTTGTTTCTCTGTATTTTACTTGCTTACGTATGTGTGCATTTTGCATTTCTTTCTATCTTCCTTTACTGGGAGTCTCATGAGAATAAAGATAGTATTCTTTTCACCATTTCCTTTCAGGGGCTACCACAAGTCCTGGCATATAGCAAAGGTGCAATATTTCTTTTCTGAAGAAATAAGATATTCCACAGATTTTAATGATTTGTCCTAATTATTTCTGTATATAAGTCCTATCCTCCACTCTAATTTTTCTTTGTTTTTGAAGTAGGGTCTAGTTATGTTGCCCAGGCTGTTCCTTCACTCCCAGATTCAAGTGATCTTCATGCCTTAGCCTCTCAAGTAGCTAGGTTTATAGGTGCATACCACCATACCTGGCTCCTGATGACAATATTGTGTGTGTGTGTGTGTGTGTGCGTGCACACATGTTAGAATGAACAAGGGCCTTGTACATAGAAGGCAAATGCTTTACCACTGGGCTACATTCCCACTCTACTTTGCCCACTCTGATTCCATTCATCCTTCATGTTTGTTTAATCATCTGATTACAGGCCTGAATTCATGTCAGGTGAAGCAATGTGAGTAACACCAATAAGGATATTTTTATACTTGTAAGGGAGTGAGGCTTTGCAAAGTATTTTAAGTTTCTCAAATTCATTCAAATATTTACAAATAACACCAATTCCGTTGCTGAAATGTCATTAATTTTTGATCAGTACTCTAAATTTCAAGTAAGATTTCAATCAATGCTGGATATTCAACCCAATTAAATGAGTAACTTTTTCCAAAACGTTAACAATTTGCCATCTAAAACTATGATTCATACCATCAATAGTATATGTAATTCACTTAAATTCATGTGAACATCAAAACAGATCAGCTGTATTATCTTCAAGTACACTTGGCTTAAATTTAAATATATCATCAGGAATTAAGTTGAAATGAGCCAAAATATGAATGGTAGTTTATAGTTGTAACATGTGAAATTTAGTGTTTATTTTATTATGTAGTGATATTATATACAATTTAGTGAAGTTTATTTTTATAATTGTACTAGGATTGAAACCCAGGGCCTCAGCCATTTAGCTACATACATCCCCAGCCCAAAATGTGTTCAACTGTAAGTTAATAAAATGAACAAGTTTTAAGTGGGTGTATATTAGTTTAAAGATATACAAGAAAATATAATAGGTGCATTTCATTTTGGTGCCAAATAACCTGGTTATTTTAATCATAGCAATCTTTGAATGAACAAACCTAACCTAAAGGTATAGTTATCCTTTTTTGCTATGGGTTAGGGTAGAAGTTCAATATATTAATCAATAATATTTTGACTTTATAACTTATGTTTATAACTAAATGACACTAATGACAATTGGAGTGGGGGGGATTCTTTGAATTATATACTTACCTACAATGTCCTTCATAAGGCCTACAATGCTCTCATCTCCTACAATCCAAGGGCGTTTTCCTACATCATGACCATAGGCTCCCCTAAAATTGAAAAAAGACAAACATTTCTTAGCTTTGTGTGTGCATGTGTACATATGAATATGTTTATGTCTAATTTTTAAAATATCAGGGTTTTTTTGTACTGTTAATTTAACCCAAGTGTTCTACCACTGAGCAACTTCCTCAAACTTTTCTTTAAAAAAATTGACTCATGGGCTGGGGATGTGGCTCAAGCGGTAGCGGCTCACCTGGCATGCGTGGGGCACTGGGTTCGATCCTCAGCACCACATAAAAAATAAAGATGTTGTGTCCACCGAAAACTAAAAAGTAAATATTAAAAAATTATCTCTCTCTCTCTTTCTCTCTCTCTCTTTAAAAAAAATTGACTCATAGCAGAGTAGGGAGGGGGAGCATGGGAGGATTAGATGAATTCTAGATAGGGAAGAGGGGTGGGAGGGAAAAGGAGGGGGCAGGGGATTAGCAAGGATGGAGGAATGTGATGGACATCATTATCCAAAGTACATGTATGAAGACTCAAATTGGGTGTCAACATACTTTATATAGAAACAGAGATATGAAAAATTGTGGTATATATGTGTAATAAGAATTGTAATGCAAAAAAACCCACAAAGTACATGTATAAAGGCATGAATTGCGTAAACATACTTTATATATAAAGCTATGAAAAATTGTGCTCTCTATGTGAAATAAGAATTGTAATGCATTCTGCTGTATTGTATTTAAAAAAATAAAATCAATTAAAAAAATTGAGATAGGGTTTCGCTAAATTTCCCAGTCTGGACTGGAACTTACAGTACTCATGCCTCAGACTCCAGATTGGCTGGGAATATGGGTGTATGCCACCATACTTGAATTAAAATATCAGCATTAGCAAGTAGGCATTTCTGTGTGGGCCTTCATAATGTTTTAACAATTAAATAAAAGTGTACTATTTTAAAATCAAAAAGTAATCCTTTAGGGACTAAAAAAAAAACCTGTCATTTTAAAAATGGATTTCCTTTTTGTTGAGGAATAGGGAAATTGCCCACATATTATTTCATTATTTTGCTATATTTTACTGTCTTGGATGTTCGTTTTTGTTTCTCTTTTATTTTTAAAATTTCAAGACTGTTTGAACATTCTACTTGTGTACTTGAAGCATATTATAGTGTCTATATTAAGACACACATACTGTTTTTTAGGCTAGAGACTGAAATGATTATAAATTTAGTTTTAAAACATAACTATTAATTGAATAGAAGTATATAAAATTTGACTACAACACTACATCCTGACCTATTTTCTAGCAATTCAACTGTCAAATTCTGGTTTAACTTTTATTCTAGTAAATATCCCAGCAGGCATAATGAAAAAACACAAAATACATAATAGTCCTTTGAGTCTCAAGAAGTTTTCATCAAATGAGGAGGAAAATACACTTGAAAAATATACAAGAAATTATAAAAAGGATAAAGGAAAGTATCTCAAGTGCTTTATGCACTTGTATTTTAGGAAGCTCTGTTAGATTGGTCTTTTTTTTTCCTATTTACACTATTTTTTTTTTAAATTAGTGCCCTTTCAATATTTTTCTGGATAATTTAATTTGGGATCATTAATTTGTTTTTTATGATAAAATCTCACATTTCTGTAGCACATATTGCCTAGAAAGTTCAAAGAATTTTGTTCAAACTTCTCACTGGTTTTCATTGAAGTTCCAGGATCTAGGCAAAAGGGTGATTCCATTGCCCCATTCTTCATTAAAAGAAAATCATTTTGCTTTTTCTTGGTATTTGATGATAGAAGGTACTCTTTGATTTGGGGAATCTTTTTAAAACTGACTTTGTTTTATATATATATATATATATATATATATATATATATATATATATATATATATATATATATATATATATAAAAACACCAGAATGCCTTAAAATCCTTATTACACACATGGAGCACAATTTTTCATATCTCTGTTTGTATACAACCAGAGTTGTATATAACTTTAATTTTTATATTCACACCAATTCGTGTCTTTATAACTGTACTTTGGATAATAAACTTCGGAGACTTGAATGAAATAAACAAGATATTCTTTTTTGTGTGTGTAATGCTAGCCTGGATTTGAAACCATGAATTAAATTTCAGTAAGCTGGGAGTGTGAGCTAGTACACCTAGTAGGAGAGAAAGAGTGAGATCTGGGGATGGAAGCCCTATTCATCAGCCTTTACTACTGTTCTTGGGGTAAATCCTCCCATGATAGCTGATTTCATGTTACCAACAAAATTCTGCAAATTTAACAGTTGGTTTTATCACCTAGTGTAAGCCAACTCCAGGTCTCTACTGGTGTTGAGACCACATTTATGAGTAACTCACAGGGCCTAACTGTTCACATTTGTAACAGTAAATGAATGGCTATATGTACCTTAAAGGGTTGCCATAAAAAATAAATGAGATAACATATAAAAGAGATAGATGGGTACATAGGACCCCTTTGCTGAGGCTTGTTTCTTTATGTAAATCTAATGCTAAAACTCCCTTCATCAGCATGTGGTGCATAACACAATTTTAAACTAATATTTCCATTACCATATAAACTAAGATGAAGGAAAAGGATTTCCAGAATAAACATAGACTGCTAAGGACTAAGGAATAAGAGAAGGGCAATTTTTAGTTATTATTATTCATATTATTATTAGATAGCCTGCAGCTTGCCTCTTTCTTGACTTCCAATATAAATGCTAAAGACAAAAATCATTATCATTAAATGGTAGTTAAAGACAGATACTTGGATCCTTTTTTATTTTAATCACATAGAGCTCCATGGCCTTTGCTGAAAGCACAATACATCTTATTACATTTAGGTAGTAAAATTCTATGTTCTGCCTCAGAGAATTTATATCTCAGAATATTATGCCACCTACTCCTCACTCTGGTAGACATCATGGTAATAATCTTTAAGGATACGCTTCTTTCTGCAATGCTTTTGGCATCTCCATCCTTGAAAATATCACACACAGAGTCTGCTTCCTCATTTTGTCAGCCTACTAGCCTGAGGTAGTGAAATGTATTTAGAAAGTGTTATCCAAATAAACCCAAAGTAAAGTGGCCTGTCATTAGAAAGAGTCGATGTAGATTAAAGTGCAGTTACAAACATATGTATTAGAGTTAAGAAAAATCTTATATTGCTCTCATTCAAAGCTGCTTAAAATACTTGTTGCAAAGCCGCTATCTTCTTTTACAAACACTGGAAAGGAAAAGAGAACATGAGAGAGTTAACTCGTTGCTACAGCATAAGTCATTGCCATGAGTGGGGTACTTTGGGAGATGATTACGAACAGCATTTGCTCATGAAATTAGATTGCCATATATAAAATCTAATTAGGAATTTAATAGAAATTTGGATCTCTTTAAAATTGGGCCGTGTTTTTGCCATTCTACAAAAAGGAAAATGTCTGTACTTTTAGAAAATTTCTCTCAAAAGGAGATAAAATTTCATAGCCTTCTTTAATGAGGTTACAAGCTCCCCCCCGCATTAACCAATGAATGATAAGCCAACCAGCATGTTGGCCATTCTTTGTAATATGTCATGCCCTGTACTTTCTTATACATATACCTTTAAAAAATAAAATAAAATAAAATAACAAAGAAAGAAATGCTTTCATTGAATGAAGCATGTTTCCTCAGTGCCCTGACTGTACACACATGGCCCTATAAAGTAAGTCACTGTTGACCAGTCAACTGGTTTGTTTCTGATGCGTAATTCGATGGGCTACTTTTCACTTTAAATATTCTTTCCTAGGTTGACAATCTTCTTATAAGAATTCCTATGAGAACATAACTGTGGCAGGTGTCTGCTTCTGTGAAAAAGAGAACACTACCTATCTAGCAGATTTTGACAATGCATGTGACAATGCATGTGGTTCTGTCTTAGGGACACAATATCCATTGTAAATTCACACTGTGCTCTTCAGGACTTATATAGTATTGCCTTCTAGCTGAATTTTACAAGTATGATTGTTAACCTATGTTATTCCCCTTTAAATAATCTGGGCCATTTATTTTAAGACAAACACACAGGTAAATGCTTCTACGGAAACTATTTTCATAGCTTTGCCTTAAGTGAATACAATTTTTTAGAAGATACCATTTGGATCCTACTATAGTCTGAATATGTCCTTTTGAAATCCAGAAATTGAAATGTGATCATCAATGTGACAGTATTAAGAGTTGAGGCTTTTAGGAGGTAATCCAATCATAAGTATCTAATGAATGGGATTCATTCCTTATCAAAGAGTTGGAATGAAGGTGTTTGTCCCTACTACTTAGTGAGGACTTAGAAAGAAGCCTCATCTTTAAAGCAGAGAGGACTTCACCAGACACTGAATCTGCTACACCTTAATCTTGCAGAATTTTGAGAAAATGGATTTCTGTGCTGTATAAGTTATCTAGTGTCAGATACTTTGTTGGAGCTGGATTAATAGACTAATACAGGTCCTAAAATATTTTTAAGTTTTTAATTCCCAGCACAAACAATAAAATATTCTCAGTGTACTCCTATCCTTGACTTTCCTTTAGTGTCAGTAATCAAGGATGGTGATTATGTGAATTCTAAGATCAGGTGGGTGTATCTATCTATCTATCTATCTATCTATCTATCTATCTATCTCTGGGACTGGAATTGAACCCAGTAACATTCTACCTCTGAACTACAATCACAATTCTTTTTATTTCATTTTGAGACAGGGTCTGGCTAAGTTGCCCAGAGTGACCTTGAACTTGCTATCCTCCTACCTGCCCAAGTGCCAGGGATTACAAACATGTGCCACTGAGCCAAACTATTGAGGAGCAAATAAATTATAAACAATTTTGGAACAAAATATGAGGTAGGAGAGCACTGATATATATATATATATATATATATATATATATATATATATATATATATATATATATATATATATATAAGCATGCTTCTCAAACACCACTGTCATTTAGGAGCAGGTGGGGCCACAATGTTGACTAGGCCACCATAGGGTAAAGCAAGAAGGCTTGGTAAAACACATGTAGCAAGGATGGAATGGGTATCTTTTGCTCAAAATTCTTTAATTCAGTTTACATTGCCTAAAATAATTAAAATGCATCTCCTTTCTGAATCATCCAATGAAAACAAGGTAAAAAGATTTAAGACTATGACAATAGAAGTTGTTATGGAAGAGAAGCATTTTCTTGAAGTATAATTTTAATGTCCTAGGAGTAATCAACCAATCCCTTTGCTAACATACAATAACCACAAAGATATCAACAGAATATCAGGACAGCATCTTTTTTAAATGCCTAGAGGATAAAAACGCACAGCCTTGCTGAATGAATATCCAAGAGGCAAGGACACTCTCTAAAGTTCAAATCCATTCAATCTAATTCTCTGCTCTCTCTTACATTAAGGCCAAAAAATGCATATCAACCATTTTTATTAACTATGACCCTCATTTATTAAATATTAAAACCTGCTAGTGCAAAATGCTTCCTAATATGGTGATATGTTTTGCAATTTACGCATAGAACTTATGCAGATAAAGTTATAGCAGGCTTCATAAATTATAAACACTTATGTTACTCTTGCATTAATTTGAAAACTTTCATTCCTTCACCATGAAAATTAAGAACTTTGCAGTGTCACCTAATAGCCCCGGCAGTAGTTATTTGCACAGTCAGTATAAACAAAAATTTAAAGAACAATCTTCCCAATATGAATGATGAGTAGAATGGAGAATGAAGAATGCTAAGAAAACATTCAGAGTTCCTATGAGAGCCAAATCTCTTGCTTTCAGAATTCTTAATTGTTTGGTTTTATTTTTCTGAAATTTTGTTTCCTGACCTTCAGTTTTGGCTCATATATATTGATTTTTCAACTTTAAATAAGCAGAAAATATTTTTTAAATATTTCCAGTTTTTAAAAAAATATTTTAACACATTTAAGCACTTCAAAATTTATAAATAAAAACATTTGACTATTTAAAAAATAATTCTAGTTTCAACTTTGTCAGTGATTACTAGGGAAAGTTAGAAAATACATAAAGCTAGGTAATTTTTATTCAGGGGTTTATACTATAGCTAACAATATAAAACTAATAAAAATAGGTATCTCTCACCTGCCTAATCAAGAAAGGATATTGATTAGTTAAATACTTAGTGCCTAAACAGATGAGAGTAATGGATTATAGTGTTCTACAAAACAGTGGGGGAAACATAGTTCACAATAACCCACCACATACTTCATGAATAACCAGAAGAGGAGAATGCAAAGTCTTTCTTAATAAGGAAAGGAGATAGAAATGTTAATACACCCTGAAGTAACTCAGTACATATAAAAAAATGGAAAAGTTTTTAAGGAGATGGAAGAGCAGTAACATTTCGGGAAGGATAATCAATGTAGTGAGAAGGTTGGACTCACAGGAGAAGGTCAGGAAGAGAAAATGTGAAGCACTTCACAGTCAGAAGAGAAAAATGGCACAGAAGAGATACGGGGAGAATGGTCCCTACTGCTTCTCCTCATGGATAGCAAGCCTGCTTAGGTAAGCTGCAGTGAAGCATCTTTCTCAATGTGTCAGGCTCTAGGGTAGAAAAGTACTCTCTGCTCGTCAACCTCTTACCTCCACAACAAGCTTTGGTTCCTTGTTTATAAACATAAGTTTAGGTAAGAACTAATCATAAAAAAGGAAATTCCTCAATATCAACTACTTTGTTAAACACTAAAGAAATAAAATGACTATGTATGATGTAGATATGTGAACGCAAAGGAGATTTAAATGTTTAAATGTTAAAAAGTTTTACTCTTGACCTTGACACTAACTTGCCACTTCACCTTATTCTGATCAAATATTCTGATCATATATATAAAAGTATTGAACAGCACAATCCCTAATGTTTCCCTCTGCTCTAGTCCAAATATTACATAACCATCTGTGTGATGTTCTAAGTTTTTCATGTGAGATTTAGAATCATAGCTTTTAAAATAAGAACCAGATGCAGTGGCACTCACTTATAATTCCAGTGACTCCAGAGACTGAGGCAGGAGGATATTAAGTTCAAATCCAGCCTCAGCAAATTAGTAAGGTCCTAATCAATTTAGTGAGACACTGTATCAAAATAAAATATAAAAAAGACTGGTGTTTTAGTCAGATTTTGCTGCTGTGACTAAATGACCCAACAAGCACAACTGTAGAGGAGGGCTCACAGTTTCAGAGGTCTCAATCCAGAGACAGCTGGCTGTATTCCTCAGGGTTTAAGGTGAGACAGGAACAACATGGCAGAAGGGTGTGGCAGAGGGAAACCTTTCATGTGGTGATCAGAAAGCAGAGAGAGGTCGCTTGCCAGATACAAATCTATAACGAAAAGCCATGACCCAATTCCCAATTCCTTCAGCCACATCCTACCACTTCAGTTACCACTCAGTTAATCCTTATCAGGGGATTAATTCACAAAACATGTGTCTGAGAAGGTTGGACTCACACGATTAGGGTCAGGAAGAGAGAGAATGTGAAGCACTCCACAGTCAGAAGAGCACAGAAGAGATACAGGGAGAATGGTCCCGACTATGACTCCTCATGGTTAGCAAGCCTGCTTAGCTAAGCTGCAGTGAAGCATCTTTCTCAATGCGTCAGGCTCATGGTTGGAACATTAAAGCACAAAAAGAGAGCCTTAATCCAGTCATTTCTTCTCTGAACCTTCTTGCATTGTCTTGCACATGAACTTTAGGGGGACACCACATCTAAACCATAACAGCTGGGAATTGCAGCTCAGTGGTAAAGCATCACTGGGTTCAATCCCCAGTACCAAAAATAAATAAATAAATAAATAAAATAATACTCACATTTTGGCCCATTTATCAAGTTCTTCTTCAAGAAATGTTTTAACCATTTTTGGTTGAAGGCCAAGAGAATTCCCCAAGAAATAAATGGAATTTTCTTCCTTATTCACTAAAGATAAATCAACTGAAACACAGGGAATAAAAAAAAAGTGCTTATTCAATTAACAGGCTTCTATTTGTCATTGTTAATCCAGGGCAAACAATTAATATAATTAACTCCAAGAAAGATAATAAATAACTTACAATTAGTACCAAGGAATACATCAGATTCTCTGAAAAGTAATTAACCTTTTGCATTTCTATATTGAAACATTGTTTAAACTACAGAGGCAATTGTGATGATCTTTCATATTTACTGTGGTACAAGAGGAAATTTAAATTAGCAACTACTCCCAGTCATAAACAGCCAAAGGCAATCAGAATTTACATCAAGTACTAACACTGAATTATTCCATGTTTTTAGACACAACAAATTTTGAAAACTTGAAAGATTATAATGTGAGGTAGATATATTGGACATATATATTTTTATAATATATCGATACACATATTTACAATAAGAAGTGTAGAGACAAAGATTGTCCTCTATATCTACCTTTTATTCAAACAAATCAGAATTTCAGTGATTTTTTTTCTATCTTACACTTTACCCTAGACTGCATAGAAGCAAACAAACTAACAAACAAGCAATCCTTGTGCTTCAAACATCGGAGAAAATACAAGCTAATCATCACAATTGTAAACTACTGAATTTTCTTTTAATTCTTTTGGGAAAATGACTCAGCACCTTGCTGATATTTCCCTGGAATCATGGAAAACCATACATTTTTTTACTTCAAATTGCTAAATAAAAGCTTTCAAGACATTTTAAAGGCATACCAGGCTATTTGAACCTGATTACTTTTATAGAACAGAGCCACTTGTTTATTGGAATCTTTTAAGCCTGACCCAATAAAAGAGGTGTTAATACTATTCATCCATTTAAGTTAGATTCACTGATAGTTCTTTGTTGACTTAGGGAACAAATATCAAAGGATTCATTTAAAATTTGGAGCTTTCAATTGGTGTACAAGATTCAATTTAGCATTCAAACAAGCACATTTGCAAGGCTGAAGAGCCTCCCTGTGTGTCACCCCACTGATGACTAAGGATATCCAGAAAGCCATCAGATCTCTGCCCCTACTGCCTTGTCTTCTTTCATTGCTCATGCTTTCCCCGAGAAATAGGTAATGGGCTGTTTCATCAAGAAAGTCATTTTTTTTTCCCTTTAATTTTTATTGTTGGTTGTTCAAAACATTACATAGTTCTTGACATATCATATTTCACACTTTGATTCAAGTGGGTTATGAACTCCCATTTTTACCCCATATACAGATTGCAGCATCACATCGGTTACACATCCACTGTTTTACATATTGCTATACTAGTGTCTGTTGTATTCTGCTGCCTTTCCTATCCTCTACTATCCCTCATCCCCTCCCCTCCCATCTTCTCTCTCTACCCCCTCTACTGTAATTCATAAGGAAGTCATTTTTGAGTATGTTCAATGTGAAAAAAAGGCAGAATTCCTGTCCCAGTTATCTCATCCCATGCCTGCCAACAGTATGGTCATCCATTGCCCTTTACTAAGTTCTTTTTTTTTTTGGCTGAATTGCTTAATAAATCTCAGACCAAATACATTTTATGAACACGTACTCAATATTATATAAGGTAGTAGAATAGAGTGTGTTTTGCAACAACACAAAAGAATAAAAACCTAATCCATTATTTTCTACCCCAGTTCCCTGTGATTTATATAACTTAAAGGACAAGCTGGACCTTAAGCCTTGCATTCCTAGGCTTTTCTTGTGCCAGTGGCAGGATCAGCAAGTTTTCTATTAAAAGCTGAAGGTGGGTCAGTATAAGGTCCTAAGAAAGAAGGACAGTGACCCAAGGGTTGAAGAGAAAACATGTTCGCCCACTTCATAGAAAGGTGACTTCCATAAGACTGAGGGAACAGAGGAATGTACTATCTGCAAGTGGCTCCATGGAAGACTTCAGACCCTGCTAATGGCATTTGCCCTGAGTATGTGTGGGGACTGGGTAGGAGACTGATGGGAGAAAGGGTCTGCTGTCAGTGAAGCCATCTGGGCTCATATGGACAGAGAAGTTGGCTCAAGGGCAAAGAAGAGGTCTTTATGGTCTCACAGACTTCTAAGGACACCAAGAAGAGATTGGGGGGAAATCTAGTAAAAAGAAGAGAAATTCTAAAATGAAGGAATCAAATTATTTTATTTTGAACAGGATCTTGCTAAGTTGAGCCAGCTGGCTTTGAATTTGTGTCCTCCTGCCTTAACTTCAAGAAGCTGGGATTATAACTATGAATCACCATGTCCTGCTAGGAGTCAGATATTTTAATCAAATCTAGTAATATAAAATTTGATATTGTTTTGAAAATAAAAATTATATTCATTACTATAAAGAAGATAGTAATGACAGTGACAAATTTTACCAAATAAAAGATCCTCTTCCTCATATTGACCTCACGATTTTTTTTCCCCCCTGCTGATGCTGGGTTCAACCCAGGGCCTCACACATGCTAGGTATGCACTTAACCAATGAGCTACATCCCAAGCCTGACCACTCTAATTCTTAACTGTACTAAACACTAGAGCTAGTTTATTTTATGATTGGGTTTTATAGAATAAATCAAAATGAGTTTCTTTTTTCTCACATTATGGTCCTTCAAACAAGTAACTTATGACCTACTCATCCACCGGAATGGTGATTCCCGGAGTGTCACCCACTTGTCAGTATTACAGGTTCATTTCTTCTTGTTCTCTATGATAGCATTACCTGAGTGACTTCTTAGAGAAAAGACAGCATGAAGTTAGCACTGTGAGGACAGCTGAGATCAGAGGTTGGTAAGAAAATCTCCCATCCTCATATATAACCCATTGTATGCAACTTCTCAATAACTAATTATGAGAGAGGTTTGGAGGGTGTGGAGTCAAGTTAGTGAAGAGCCCTTGACATTGTGGAGAGGCCCCTTAGATAGGAGGTAAACAAAGAATACATCATGCCCATAGATGTTTACAATTATATATATCATGGTTTTCCTCCTTTTCTCCCTTCTATTCTTTGTTGTTTGCTGCAGCCCAGCTACTCTTTCCATATTTCACATGCAGAAATAAGAAAGTAGATTAAACATAGCATTTCCAAATTGCGATCAGACCTACATCTATCAGCCCCTGGATAGTCTTAATTTTGGTGGGTGGGGGTGTCCTGGGGATTAAATGCAGGGCTTCACCCATGTTAGACAAGGATTCTGCCACTGAGCTAAGTCTCCAGCCCTGGATATTCTTGAATCAAAGGATTCTTTTTATTTCCTAAGTGCTGGGTTTTTTTTGTTTTGTTTTGTTTTCCTGTGTTTGTGACAAGAGGATCCCCTTGGTTAGGATACTCATTATTTGTGGACCTCAGAGTCAGACATGACTGGCTGCTTCTCATCCTCAAGGTTGTCACGTCAATAGTTACTGATTATCATCACATCGATCATGACTGATAATCACCTGCTGTTTACTCAACCTATAGTCCAAATCTAGAGACTTCTAGGATACCTCTCTGTGTGTTTCATGGCTCCTGTGCTTTCTAGATACAATCCTAAAGAATATTTGGGCTCTAAGTGCACACAAACTTCCTAGTCCTTCAGAGCCAGCTACCTGATCTTGTACAACTTGACATCTTTAGATTCTGCTGGATGACTTATTTAATATTTCATGTTCACGGACTGGGAAAAGTCCCCTTCCTGAAACACTCATTGTTTTTATTCTTTTCTTCCAAAGCTTAAGTCAGTATTGATGTATGCCAGTCATTTTTGCTTTTCAGTTTATTTTCTACTGTTGACAATTTATTTTTTTAATTGAGGATTTGATGTTTTGCAAAAAATATTTATTGTAGGATGACACTGATGTATTTCTTTTCTTTAAAAGTGGAATTGCTGAATAGGGCATAAGATTATGCAGTTTCTCAGTTGTCCTCTTAGTTTTCTCTTCATATCAGTGTCCTTTCCACAAAGGTTGTGGAGTTTGCTCTAAAATCCCCTTTTGAAATAAACGTCTGTTTGAATAACACACATCATTTTAATGGGCCCCCAATTTTGGTTAATTCATATTGCTACAAGACTGTCACTAACTCTTCTTGTTGGCATCACCATTTTTCAACTCTTTTAATGCCTTTGCTTCTTTGCTTCTAGTTCTCTGGGGCGGGGCTGGCAGTGGGGTCTTCCTCTACTGCGTTTAATTGAAGTATCTCAATTTCTTCCTGTTAATCCAAACTGTCTAGATCTATTCTGAGGAGACACTGACCGGCCTCATTATCTGGGGTTCCTGTGGTTTTGCTTCCAGGTCAGAGCATTTGCTGACTTGACTTTGTCAATCCCCAGTAGGCAGGACCCCTACACAGTATTCTTGTTCCAGGCAGGGGAAGGCAAATTTTTCCTTTAAAAAGTCTAAAGGTAAGTAGTTTTGGCTTTGTGAGTCATCTAGTCTCTGTTACAAAGCCTCATTTCTGTCATCATGGCACAAGAAAAGCCATAGATAATGCATAAGCAAATATATTTAGTTACCAAAAGAAAAAAAAAAAGTTGTTGAGCTCTGTCCAAAGGTCACTCTCAAATTCTAGCAGATTGGGCATGGTCTTAATTTCCTTCATCAGCCAAGTATCTACAATCTATGAGTGCTCCTTGAACTGGGAATGTTTGCTTCTTGTTATATGCTCTCTCAATTTGTTTGCTGTGGTTACTATAATAATACTCCACAATCTTGATGGCTTAAATAGCAGAAATGTATTGTCTAATAGTTTTGGAAAGTTTTAGAGGCAAGAAGCCCCAAACCAATTTGTTGGCAGGGTTAGTTCTTTCTGATGGATCTGTTCTAGGCCTCTCTTTCTGTTCTATAGATGGCTCTCTTGTTCTTCTGATTGTTCTTGTTCTTCTTCCTCTGGTGTGTGTGTGTGTGTGTGTGTGTGTGTGTGTGTGTGTGTGTTAGTTACTGGAGATGGAAGCCAGGACCTCCTAGGCAAGTACTCTAAGTTATGTCCCCCAACTCTTTTTATTTTATTTTGAGATAGGGTCACACCAAATTG